GTTGTGTTATTCATCAGTAGGTACTTTGCAGAAAATATTTAAATTTATCATGTGTTACTGAATCAGTATTGTCAGTGGTGCTCTTCATTTGCTCTCGTGGATTTAATTAGCATCAGCTGTGTGGATTTTTGTTGGCCATAGAAGCTGGATATCTTGACTGGCTTTAGTATAGTAAAATTGTTGTTACAATTTTTTGAGCTTAGGACTGATACTGAAATTTTTCTGAATGAAGCAGGATGACCTTCAACCACTATTGTCAAATACTGATTGGCTTTGGAAATTAGCTTTTTCTGAAGATTTAGAAATATTTATGAATGAATCTAACAAAATTATGAGGCAAAATAGTGCTTACATATGAACTTTAGCTGCAGTTAAGTCATTTCAGTGACAACTGATGTTTGAATCACAAGTAACATCAAGTTGCTTTATACATTTCTTCTGTCAAAGTGAGAGCTTCATTCCCATATGAATTTGCCTGAATATATTTTCCACCATCAAACTACAGTTCCAGCAACATTTTTCAGACATTGATGCAAGTGCAAAGAAAGTTTCCATATCTCAAAATCCATTTTTAATTGTGCACTTGAGGAACTTCTACCTAACTTCCAATTGGAAGTGTTTATTCTGCAGTGTAGTGACATATTGAAAAGCAAATATCAAAAGAATCTAAGAGACTTCTATAGCTGCCTTCAAAGTAATGAATATACTCATTAAAATCATGTACTTGTGGGTCAATACCAGTATTTAGCAGTACCTATCTGTCAGAAAAGACATTTCAAAGATAAATACATAAAAGCTGATCAACATAATCAATTGAATATTTGCAATAGATTTTGATGATAGGAAACTAAAGTGTTATTTACCCCAATTCCATTTTTTCATTAGCAAACTTATAATATAAAATATTATACTTACTATATCTTGAATTTTGTCAATAGAACGTTTATAGGAAGTTTTTCTCTCTCATTATGTAAGTATCTACATGTTTTTGTCCTTGGCCTGCAAAGACTGAAATATAATTGGGCCCTTTTCAGGAAAAGTTTGAGGACCCAGATTCTATAGCAGTTCTTCTCAGACATGAATGCACATAATAATTACCCGGAGATCTTATTAAAATGCAGATTCTGATTTGCTAGGTCTAGGGGTGGGACCCAAGATTTTGCATTTCTTATAAGCATCTGAGGTGGTAACAGATGCTGCTGGTCAATGGACTGCATTTTGGGAGGCAAGGCTCTAGTATTCAAGGTTACATTTTTATTTAGACAAGTATGCTAGGGCCGCCTGGGTGGCTCAGTCAGTTAAGTGTCTGCCTTCAGTTCAGTTCATGATCCCAAGGTCCTGGGATCGAGCCCCGTGTTGAGTTCCCTTGTGTTGAGTTCCCTGCTCAGTGGGGAGCCTGCTTCCCTCTTCCTCTGCCTGCTGCTCCCCCCCCAGCTTGTGCTCTCTCTCTAATAGATAAATAAAATCTTTAAAAAAAACAGACAAGTATGCTAATATTTGTTAAGCATCTTTTATTTGCCAAGAATTATACCAGGGGTTCTTGCATACATTGCTATTAAAAAGTTGTAAAAACTAGGTGCCTGGGTTGGCTCAGTTGGTTAAGCGACTGCCTTCGGCTCAGGTCATGATCCTGGAGTCCCAGGATCAAGTCCCGCATCGGGCTCCCTGCTGAGCAGGGAGTCTGCTTCTCCGTCTGACCCTCCCCCCTCTCATGCTCTGTCTCATTCTCTCTCTCAAATAAATAAATAAATAAAATATTTTAAAAAAATAAAAAGTTGTAAAAACTTGTTAGAAGGTGTTAAGAACTATTAGTGAGGTTGGGACTCACTGTAGGAGTTTGGTTAGAAACCAATTGTTTGTTTTTCCTCGAGCGTTTAGCTTCCTCTAGGGCCTCATGGGGGAGGGTTGAGGTCCTAGAGGAAGCTGTATATCTAAGAAAAACAGGGTTAAACAAAATACTACATTATTAGTTGGTTCAGGTCAAAGTGGGACTTAGGTCCTCATCTTCTCTGCTAAATTTCAGTGGGCCATCCCATCAACCAGTTACCAAGCCAAAGAGTAAAAATAGTATATAGCACATAAATGTTCTATAAATATTTTCTCCGTGTCTCGTTTTTCATTTTTACAACCATGTCTTTTGAACTAGCAAAGTTAAAATTTTGATGAAGTTCAATTTATTTATTTTTAAAAAATTATTTGTAAGCATTGTGGTAAAGTGTACATAATACAACATTTACCATTTTAACTATTTTTAGGTGTACAGTTCAGTGCCATTAAGTATATTCACATTATTGTACTATCATCACCACCATCCATCTCCAGAACTTTTGTATCTTCCCCATTGAAACTCTGTACCCATTAAACACTAACTTCTCATTCCGCCATGCCCCTCTGTCTCTGGCAGCCATCATCTATCTACTTTCTGTCTCTGAATTTGACTATTAGGAATCTCATATAAGTGGAATTGTACAATTTTTGTCCTTTTGTGTTTGGCTTATTTCACACTTAGCGTAATGTCTTTAAAGTTCATCTATATTGTGACCTGTGTCAAAATTTCCTTTGTTTTTAATGTTGAGTAATACTCCATTTTATGCATAGACCACATTTTGTTAATCCATTCATTCATTGATGGACACTTAGGTTGCTTCTACCTTTTGGATGTTGTGAATAATGCTGGTATGAACATGGTGTATAAAGATTTATTCTAGTTCTTGCTTTCATTTCTGTTGGGTATATACTCAGAAGTGGACTTTCTGGATCATATGTAATTCTATGTTTAATTTTTTAAGGAACTGCCATGTGGTTTTCCACAATGGTTGCACCAGTTTACATTCCCACTAGCCATGCACAAAGGTTCAAAATTTCTCCACATCCTTACTAACACTTACTATTTTCGGTTCTATTATAGTAGCCATCCTAATGGGTGTGAAGTGGTATGTCATTGTGGGTTTTGATTTGCATTTCCCTAATGATTGATATTGAACTTCTTTTCATGTAATTATTGGCCAGTTACATGTCTTTGAAGAAATGTCTATTCATGTCCTCTGCCCATCTTTTTTTTTAAAGATTTTTTTAATTTAGTTTTAGAGAGACAGCAGGTGGAGGGGCAGAGGGAGAGGGAGAGAGAGAATCTCAAGCAGACTCTGCGCTGAGTGCAGAGCCAAACATGGGGTGCAGAGCCCAATATGGGGTTCAATCCTATGACCCTGAGATCATGACTTGAGCCGAAATCAAGAGTCAGATGGACACTCAACTGACTGTGCCACCCCCTCCCATTTTTTTAAAGGTATTTATTTATTTATTTATGTATTTATTTATTTATTTGACAGAGCAAGAGAACACAAGTAGGGGGAGCAGCAGAGGGAGAGGGAGAAGCCGATGTGGGACTCGATCTCAGAACCCCAAGATCATGACCTAAGCCAAAGGCAGACACTTAACTGACTGAGCCACCCACATCCCTCCCCCCTTCCCATGTTTTAAATTGGGTTGTTTGAGGTTTTTTTGTTGAATTGTAGGATTTATTTATGTATGCTGCAAGGGATCTTGCATTTTTTCTCAGTTTGATATCTAAGAAATCATTGCCAAATCCTCCAAGATCATGATGCTTTACCCTACGTTTTCTTCTAAGAGTTCTATAGTTTTAGGTCTATACATGCAAATGCAAGATCCCTTGGATGTCAAGAAGGAATGGGATCAAAAGCAAAAATTGAAGGCTTCAGTTTGAGAGAGAGAGAATGAGAGACAGAGAGCACAAGAGGGAAGAGGGTCCGAGGGAGAAGCAGACTCCCCGCTAAGCAGGGAGCCCGATGCGGGACTCAATCACGGGACTCCAGGATCATGACCTGAGCCGAAGGCAGTCGCTTAACCAACTGAGCCACCCAGGCGCCCAAGGCTTCAGTTTTTTAAAGGTAGTTACCTCTTTGAGATGGAAGAAGGAGGAGTGGGCAGAAAATATATGTTCAGGTACAGATATATGGAAGTAAACATGGCAGGATGGCCATTATCCATCCAGTCCTCTGTCCAGATAATGATGAACGGTAATGAAAGCAATTTTAAAAGATAAAATCTATAGGAATAACTGTTAAACTTTAAGATAGAGGAATGTCAGAGTATATGGAAGGGGTCTAGTTAGTTTAGTTTGAAAGTGTCCACATGTGATTTGGGATTGCTCCTTATTCCTTTCGAGAACCACTCATTTATGTCAGTTCTAAGGTTTTAGTTTTATCAGTAGAGAGTTGGCAGACATGAAAAAAAGAAATTTAAAATTGAACTTTAGCTAGAATTTGTGGTGCTTTAGTCTGCATAGTAGCAATTACATGAGGATGCTAATTTTTCCCTTTTAATTCTCCAGTGATTGGAGTGATTCTCCAGTGATAGCTGTTACCTCAGTGATCTGTTTGATATATGTATATTTTTCATTCACCTGATAGAAACTGAAAACTATCAAATCTTTGGGATGTGACAGTCATAAAACAATCTTTCCCAGTTTAAAATATAGTCAGATAAGGTATAAATAAACAAAATAACTACTAATGTTACTCAATGTCAGAATTCTGCATAAGCTAAGATTATGAGAGTAGTGTTTTTCAAACTGTGGACCCATGGTCCATTTATGGCACATGAAATCAATTAAATAGCTCACAACCAGTGTTTTTCTTTTCTGATGGACAAAATAGACTAGAAAATATTGGCGTGCACTGCATGCAGTAAGAAGTATTTGTGGAATTTTTTAATACATGTGTGTATGTGTCTTTGTACTGAATTGGGTGGAAAATATATTTCTTACTGTGGATTACAGTCAGAAGTGTTGGAAATTTACTGTTGGTTGTTTTTATAAATGACTGAAGGACATGATAAAAATTTTAACGTCTCAGTCTGTTTATAGAATGCATTCATTAGGTTTATATTGACATCTCAACTAGCCACATCTATATATTTTGTTTTTGTGTGTATATGAAGATATATATTTGTGTTTCATTTTCCTTTTCCGTTATTAATAGGTGCAATGGATGAGCTTCATAGTCTGGATCCAAGAAGGCAAGAATTATTGGAAGCTAGGTTTACAGGAGTTGCAAGTGGGAGCACTGGAAGCACTGGCAGTTGCAGTGTTGGAGCAAAAGTGAGTAAAATTATAATCTTTATTTGACATTCTTTCATTGTATTAAATGATCCAGAACATATTTTGTAAAAGAATCCTACATATGTGTTTAATAGCAAATTACCACTTACTGTAATTTTTGTAATATATAGGGAAAATTCAGTATTTATAAACCTGATTTTTAATATAGCATAACATACTTCAGGGGCATGATGTTCTAATACATCATAATTGGTTTCAGGAGTAAGAATTAATTGAGTGGATTGAACTGCTCTTCTCCCATTATATAATTTTTACTCTTCCTTGCCTCTGTCACCCTTGTTCCTATCTGTGCAACTGCTACATATCTCTTAGGCTTTCCAGTGATAGACCTCATGTTGTCTTCAGCTCCCCATTACCTCACACTGTAGTGGATTTCATGTACTTTTTCTCTTATGGACCTCTGTGAGCATTTGTTTAGGTTACATTCTTAGGTGCAGAATTGCTGGGTTATAGGGTATATATAGAGTTAAATTGAATGAATAGTGTAAGATTACTATTCAGAACAGTTGTACAGGACTAACCCATACTTTTAACAGAATGCATGATCATTTATGTATCCCTACATCCCAGAAGCAGTTGGCATCATCTGGATTTCTCATTTTTGATAGTCTAATGTGTAAAATAGTATCTCTCTCTCTTTTTTTTTTTTTTTCTTGTACCACCAATTATTTTGAGCATTTCTTTATGTGCTTGTTAGCTTTTTGGGAGTCTCTTATAAATTGTTAAAATCCTTTTCTATTTTTCTATCAGGGGTTACTTTCTTTTTCAAACTGATTTTCCCATGTTCCATGTATACTTACATATCAATTCCATGTTGGTTGTATACAGTGCAAATAACTTCTCCCATTTTGTCATGTCTATCACCTTTGTTCATGATATCCATTATCATATAGGATTATTGTAGAGGACTCTTTAATTTTGTTGTAATCAAAGTCACCAATTTTTTTTAACTTATAGTCTATAACTCTGAAATTTTGAATAGCTCTTGGTGTACTTAGAAAAACAGTTGTCACTGTGAACCATCTGGGTCAAATAGATCCTTTTCCTTTTTCTTTTAAAGACTTATTTATGGGAGAGAGAGAGAGCACCAGAGAGCAAGCAGCGGGTGGGGCAGAGGGAGAGAGAAACCCAAGCAGGCTCTGTGCTGAGCACGGAGCTTGATCTCACCACCCTGAGATCATGACCTGAGCCAAAACCAAGAGTTGGATGTTTAACCAACTGCACCACCCAGGTGCCCCATCCTTTTGCTATTTTTATATTTTAAGTTATTTTGCTACTAATTTATAGCTGTAGGAATAAAGGTATAATGAAAAACAACTTTATTAGACATTTTAATAATAATTTAAACATAAAATCCTCTTTGTATCAAGTAAATCTTGGTGCACAAGCATCTTAAAAGATAAAGGATATTGTCATGCATCCTTTGAGCGTCAAGTGGTCCAGATTCATGTAGAAGAATATTATATGAAGTCCTTAAGTTGAATGACTAATGAAAATACCATGTTTCCTTTTTTTCCTTAGAAATACAATTCATTGATTCTTGAATTTGAGAAAATTCATCTAGGATAATATCATTCAATGACTCTGAGATTTCACTTATATAGTCATTGCCATCAGTTTTAGGGAGTCTAGAGGTGTTGTTATCTCTTTGTATTTATTTTCCAATTTGTCTAATAATTACAAAATGTCTTCTGCTGTCGTTTTCTTCTCTTGACCATCTTGGGTAGAAAATGAAAATTTCTTAATTCTCCACTGGAGTTAGTGCAATCTAATATCAGTCTGCAAGGATGTCTCTAGTATTTTTTTTTTTAAGATTTATTTATTCATTTGAGAGTGAGTGCACGCATGAGTGGGAGGAGGGGCAGAGGGAGAGAAACCCAGGCAGACTCCTTGCTGAGCGTGGAGCCCAACATGGGGTGCAATCTCACGACCGTGAGATCATGACCTGATCCAAAGTCAAGAGTCCATACTTAACTGACTGAGCCACCCAGGCGCCCCTGCTCTAGTCTTTTATACATTCTTGAAGGGTGATGCAGTACTTTGGGCAAGACAAGAAGATAACTTGAGAGAGAATCACTTATTTCACTATTGCATCACCCTTTAAGGTCATTAAATCTGCATTATTTTTCTCTTTCTACCATAAAAAACTACTGCAGAGTTGCTTAAAACAAGGCATTTATTTTCTTATAGTTTTGAGGGTCAGAAGTCTGACATTGGTCTCATTGGGCTAAAATCAATGTGTGTGCAGAACTTGATTTCTTTCTTGGAGGCTGCAGCGGTGGGAAATGGGGGGCACCTTTTCCTTGCCTTTTTCCAGCTTCTAGAGGCTGACCGAATTTCTTCGCTGGTAGTCTCTTTCCTCCATCTTCAAAGCCAGCAATGATGCAACTCTCTTACTGTTCTTTGGAAGTCACATCTCCCTCTGACCACAATCTAGAAAGATTCATCACTTTTAAGTACTTGCGATTAGATTGGCTCATGCCCGTCTGGATAATTTGGTATAATTCCCCCAATTCAAAGTCCTTACCCTCTTACATGTGCAAAGTCCTGTAACATTCACAGGTTCTGGGGATTAGGATGTGAGTGTCATTGGGGGACATTATTCTGCCTATCATATCTTCATTCTTCTATTTTTTTTTAGTGGTTTTTGTTTGTTTTAGCATAGTTGGGAATAATTGATGAACAATGAGTAATGATGAAGTAATTCCTAGGATGATGTAATAACAAAATATAGGAAAAATAAGATCAATAAGATCCCATAATGTAATTTAAATTTGTGAAAGGGTCTGTTGGATGTCTGGTGATTAATTATAGGAGAGAATGCATTTTAGTCCATTAAAAATAAATTTTATTTTTATTCTTTGGATGATCTCTAAGAAAGAATAAAAGTCCCCAAATACTAACTTCTTTTAGAGAGGGAGCATGAACGGGGGGTGGGGGGGTGGAGAGGGAGAATCTTAAGTAGGCTCCACGCCAAGCATGAGCCTGACTTGGGGCTTGATCTCACGACCCTGAGATCATGACTTGAGCTGAAATCAAGAGTCGGAACCTAACCGACTGAGCCACCCAGGTGCCACCCGCCCCCTCTCTCCCCACCTCGTGACAAATACCAATCTTACAAATAGGTAGAACTACTTGAAAAAGAAGCTCAAACATTAAAATTGGGTTCAGTGGACCCTGAGGTATTCTGAGAATTAAATACTTCTTCCTCACCCTTGGGCCACAAAGATATTATGCAGATTCTTCTGTTAATTTTATAGTTTTACTATCATATTTGCCCTTTAGGTCCCACCTTTTATATAGTATTGATAGGGATCCAGTTTTACTTTTCTCCATTTGGTGAACCAGTTTTCTCCACAGTGCTTCTTTTTTTAAAACATTTTTTAAAGGATTTATTTTTTTATTTTAGAGAGAGGGGTGGGGGCAGAGGGAGAGAGAATCTCAAGCAGACTCCCTGAGTGTGGAGCCTGCCACAGGCTTGATCTCAAGACCCTGAGATCATGACCTAAGCTGAAATCAAGAGTTGGACACTTAACTGACTGAGCCACCCAGGAGCCCATCTCCACAATGCTTCTTAAATCATCCATATTGTTCCACTGATAGGTGATGCCACCTTTATCATATATTAATTTGCCAAGTATACATATGGATCTGTCTGAAATTTCTCTTAACGTTCCACTGGTCTGTATTCTTGTCCCAGTATCACATTTTAAAAAAATACTGTTGTATTTTTGGTATATCTTTTTTATATGGTGGAGCAAGTCTCTTCTTTAATCTTCTTTTATAAAGTTGACTCAGAAAGCTGACTTAGTTTTTTTATGGTTCTTTATTCCCTCATTTAAAATTTGAGTTTCGCTTCATTTGCTTGTTAGCATTTGGGGATTCTTCTGTGATAGCTTATTTGTGTCTTTTTCCTTAAAAGATTATCAAATAGAATTCTTATTTTGAATGCATTGCATTTATAGATTAATTGAGGAGTAGTTAAAATCTTTATAAGATTAGATTGTCCCATCCAAATATATGAAATGTGTCTCTATTCAGTTCTCTCTATAGAGATCTTAAGAATTTTTGGCTGGTTTTTATGAATTCTTTTGGCTAATTTCTGAATACTTTAGTTTTTGTGGCTATTTTTTTTTATTTTCTAGTTGGTTATTGTGGACCTAGGAGGTATTTGATTTTTATCGTTTGGTCTTGTATGCAGCGGTCTTGCTGTTGGGTTTTTTTTTTTTTGGTTGTAACAGTTCGTTGATTCTTTAGGCTTCTCTAACCAATAATTATCTTCCAAAAATAAGTTTTATTTTTTACACCTCATATGTATATTTTTTCTTTATATTGGTCATGATCTTCAGAAATGGAAATATTCTGTTTTGAGGGATAATTTACACCACATAAACAACTCAAATCTAAAAGGAAGGAAAAGCTTAATTTGTAATTTTCAGAATATTGGAAACAACTCAACTGTTCCTCATCTAAGAGAAATGTATTAAAAAGAAGTGTGATATATATATTTATACAGTGAAATACTATTTAGCAATAAAAAGTAAGAGACTATTGATAACATGTAACAACATGGATGCATCTCAGATGAATGGATTATGCTAAAAGAGGTCAGACCCAAAAAACTACATACTACAATACTTCACTTTTTTTTTTTATCTAAGCTCTACACCCAGTGTGGGGCTCAAACTCAAAATTATGAGATCAACAGTTACTTGTTCCATTGACTGAGCCAGGAAGGCACCCCACCTTTATTTCCTTTTTAAGACAAGGGTTATTAATTGGGATATTTTGAGCTATTCTTTTGTTATGGATTTCTAATTTATTGCATTACATTTTGAAAATATAGTTTGTATGACATTAATTCCTGAAATGTGCCCTGTTTTATAAACATTTCATATCTAATAGCTCTTAATTTTATTTGTTCAGATCTTAAATATTTCCTTGTATTGTCAGCTTGACCTTTTTCTGAGTGGTGTATT